TTTGCTAATTCCTGAGCTGAGCTCTGATTGGCTCGCTGCTCCCTAAGGATTTTGGTGACGTCATATATTAGCATAGAACTTCACCGAATAGACTACCCCAATTAGATATTAGATATCTATAAGTGTCTTCATAGTACGATGGTCTAAGAGGGTAGCTAAAGGTATGCTCTAGTGGGCGGCTACCCCCTCACTCCCTGGCCTTTTGGTTAAGACTAAGTTTTATGTTCACTCGGGATAGCGTGGAAGAGCCGAAATCTCTAACCGTAACGTAAGCCGATTCGACGCCTCAGCTTCATAGAATGTCTCGGGGGAATCGTCCCATCTTTTTAGCTTTTTTATTTTCATTATTTTTATGTATGCCAGGGGGGGTACATCTTCTTCTGAAGTCAAAGTCCTGAGTTCGAGCCCTGACGCTGGAATCTTTCTTTTTTGCTTGCTCATCATTTTTTTTTTTCGTTTCAGTTTCTTCGTTTGTTTCTTCTTCTTTGTTCTTTTTTTCTTTTTCTTTGCTGTTACTACTTTGTTTATTTTTCTCTAGAGATTATTATTATTTTTGATATTAAGAGCTCGCAAGGAACGCCTGCTACAAGTGGATGGTTACGAAAACCGAACGAACTGCATTCCTGTATATCCAAGTATCCCTGAGCCCTGATTCCAATACTTCCATTGGAGTCGGCCGAGATGGCCTACGGTAGACTGGATCGAGGGTAGAATCAAAATGGCGGACATAGAAGAAGTTGAAGTTGGTTTTGAATCGAAGATTGAAGAAATAAAAAGCTGGCTCAGATCAGATGGGTATGAAAAATATAAAGAAGCCAGGCGACTCTCTGAGGAAGATTCAAAACATGACCCGGAATCGGAGCCTTWCAAGTCCAAATACGCTGCACGAGACATCTTACTAGAGTTGAAAGGAAAACTTGAAGCATTTGAGAGCGAAGACGAAGAAAGCACAGAATTTTCACGGCTYCTCTCGTCTATTTTAAGTTATCAACTAGGAATTAACTATGCAGATACGCAAGAAACTAGTGAAGGGGAGACCTATTTTCGCCGGTGTCTCGAATTGGTGGAAAACAAAGATGACAACATTGATATGAAATCTGTTTCGTTGAGATTACTCTGCCTCAATCACCTTGGGATTTTGTGGAGCCAAAGAGGCGATGCTGACAAAGCTTTAGAGTTTCTAGAAAAGGGAGAGATGTTGTACCACAAGTTCAAGAAAGATGTTGGGGGTACACCGTACTCGATACATGAGTTAGTAAAACCTTTTGTACATCGAAATCATGCAGTCTACATTTTTATACACGTGAACGATTATATTAATATTCACATTTCAACTTACATGAAAGATTCTGGCTATCATCATTATTATTTGTATCATGGTTTGTTGTCATGAAAAATTATATAAACAGATTGTAGAATACCCATCCACATCTGGCAGAGAGGATTTTCTTTTCTGACAATGCTAGACTATAGAATATCCGGCCACAGAGAAATTAGAATTGTTAGTGTCATCACAAGCTCACAGTCTGTCTTCAAAAAAACAGYAATCCTTTGCATCTAGTATGGCCCATAAGGCTTAGCAAGGATTACATGACTCTTTGRCAGCACTGATGGCTGATCATTACATCAATCATAYTTACAGCATCTATGTTTTTCTGTTTACCAGGCTTTTCTGCGCAGATGAAAATAGCTTAACAGATGCAGACAGAGAAAAAGAATTTGAAGCMGCCTTCACGCATAGTCTTTACTACCTTGCACAGGTCCATGGTGCCCTGGGGAACTCCATTAAGAGTGGCGTGTATTGTCATACTACACTA